CCTGGGATAGAAATAGCTGCTGAAATCCATGAGGTTATCCTTACTTTTTGCATTTTGAGGGAATTGTGAAAAAGCTATCACTTGCCGAATGCCCTCTCTGCCTCCAAATCCGGAGTGCTGTTGCCTCTGCCAGACAAACCACCTGTAAGTGCTTCTGCTTGCTTCTCTGGGATCTTCATCAATCTCCAGAGCGAGGCATGGTCCAAACAAGTCTTTTGCATGCTGGTGATATGGCAGAGAATGAATGGTGTAAATGTCAAGATTATAAGCAGTACTGCAGCCAAATGATGACTGCTTGGAAATAAAAGAACCTACAGAGAACACATGGGTTCTCCCAAAGACAGTGTGGCTCAAGTGTTCAAGAGAGGCATTTAGAGGTACAAGCATTCACCTTTATGTTCAGCATTGTCATCTCTGTCCCAGTCAGTGCTGGAAGGCCACAGAGGCCAATCCTGCTTCTTAAGACTACCCTGTTATTTTTTTTTTTTTTAATGTCTAAGATTTTACTATGTTTAAGCACAGAGGTGGGCTTCATAAACACCTTTGCTCAACCTGAAACCCCTCTCAAACCTGAAACCCCCTTTTGTGATGAAAGCAGAGCTCCTACCCTAGGATGGACACTGGGCAATGTCTAAGTGATGGGAAACTGAGCAGGATTGAGAGTTACAGCAGCTTCTGGCCAAGAAGGTGTTGGTCACAGATGTGCACTTTGGGACATGACCAGGGCAGACATCCTAAGAGCAACTATCCCCTGCCAGAGATACATGATATGTGAGCAAGCTCAGATTTCTCAGGAACCTGAACTGCATCTGTTTTGCAACAGACAACTGTCCGTCTAGGAAGGGACAGGGAATCAGTTTTTAACATCATTCGCAGTTCAGACAGAAATTCAGTATCCCCAAGCCTCATCTAAAATTGAAAAGTGCCTCCAAAGGAATTGTTTGTTGCTTTGTTTGCAAAAAGTGCAAACAACACATCAGAGAAGCAAAAATGCCTTGGTGGATTGTTTGGCTGCACACTTAGTCAGGGTATATTGTAATGAGCCATATGCTAGCTTTGCATAGTATTATGGGGTAAGCCAGCTGCAACGAGCAGCTGATTAGTCTGGTTGGAAAAAATCTTCATTTTCTGTAACAAGGGGCCAGCAAAGGCAAGCATTCTGGCAGATACTGTCAACCCTCTGACTGCTCCTGTCATCGTGCTGTGGACCAGATGAAGTTAAGAGATCAAGAGAACCTCTGCTTTATTTTCATCCTAAAGGAGGGACACCTTCTTAGCTCTGGACTTGTTTAATAATAACATGTTTTATGAACCACAACCCTTTAATATTCTTGTGGAAGAGATTTCCACTCTTCCCACAGCTGCAGTCAGAGCTCAGTCTTTTGCCTTTCAGTGTTCAGCATTCAGCACAGCTGATGTGGTGGAAACCTCCTGTGAGGTGGGGGGGGAGGCCATGAGGAGATGGGAACCTGATGAAGAGCAAGACTGCAAAAATGGCAACAGGACTGCAAATGTCCTTTCTGGCCAAAATGCTGTCTCTTGCTATGGCCAAAAGCTAATGCATACACAGGAGTATCACAAGAGAAGGTAAATATTTCCTTCAGATATCTGCTTTGAACAGTTTGTCTCCTGAGGACTTTTCAGAGTCAGAGATGTTTCCTTTTCTAGATAAACCTCAGAGGAATTCTGTACTGTTTAGTACTTGTTGATCCTTCACTTGAACCCACTTATCTTCTGTCATCTACAGCAGCCTGGCTACAGAGTTTTGTATCTAACTCAGACTATCCACTCATGGATGACCTGAAACTTCCTCCATCAGGAAGAGAATTTCTTTAGATCTCATCTGTGCCAAATGCTGAATGAACAATTTGTGTGGACACCTTTGAATGGGTAAGCAATCCCCAGCCAGAAGGTAGGAACATCAGAAGTTCTTTTAAGGTCTTTTTTAAAACTACTATTGCTTGTGTTTCCAAAGAAAAATTACTGGCCATTATCAGAATCTACTACAAATGAATATAGCAAATCTGGAAACACAACATCAGTGAACTAGAATGAGTTTTTAGCTCTAAAACGCTGATTTTACTTTTTTTTTACTATTATTTTAAATTTTTGTTTGTTTGTTTCCCAGAGAGGAGAATAGCTTAGGGTTATCCCTTTGCATTTACATATATCTACTACTTTGAATGCTCTGGGTCATCATTACATACAGACAGAAAAGGGCAGAACATATCTGGAACAATTATTTCAGAAATGCTGAAAAAGAAGCCATGCAGCTGTCTCAGTTTTGGGTTGCCCAGATGAATTTGATGTGTAAGCCTCTAATGGAACAAACCCATGAAGCAGTAGTAACAGAGAGAGGGTTGGGAGCAATGTGGAAAAACCTAGAGGGCACCACGTTTATGGCTGAGTAAGAAGCCTGATTTGCTCTCATTAAAAGAAAAATTCCCCACAGACAGGATTATTAAGAGTATTCTTATTTGACATGGTTATTAATGAGGAGGAGGAGGGAGCAAATTGTACATTAATGAACTTCACAGACAATAATTCTCTGGGAAGATCTGAGGGCTCCAGCAAGGGCAGATCATTGGCTAAGTGGAGTGCAGTACTATTGTTAACTGAAACCTCTAAATATTGCATCCAATCCTCTCCAAAACCACTGGCCTTGTGGGACACTGGCCTTTCATTGCCAGTGAGTTTTTTTTAACTTGTCCCCATTGGCTCTTGTCCTGTTGGAAGGCAGCACTGAGAAGAGCCTGGGCTCCTCCTCTTCATTCCTTTCCATTAGGTTATTTACACACATTGTGAAGTTCTTCCTTGAGCCTTCTTAGGTTTAGGCTAGACAGTCCCAGCTCTTGGCCTTTCTTCTCATGACAGATGCTCCAGTCCCTTAATCCCCCTTCATGGCTCTCTGCTGGACTCAGTTTGGGAAGCAGCAGCACGAGAGGAGACAGCTCCCTGACAGCTGTTTTCCCCAGGCACAGGGCATTGTTGCACGGTGTTGATACCGGTAAGGCCAATGCTGTAACTTCACTATGGGACTGGAAGCTGAATCAGAGGTGTTACCTCAGCAGAGGCGTGGCAGGAGCAGAGCAGAGGCATCTGCTGGAAGGCAGCACCCCATGGAGGGGAATACAGGAAGCTGGCAGTTCTTAATTGCTGCCCCTATAGCAGGCAGAGCCTGGAGCTTGGGTGGCTGTAAGCAAGCAGGGAGCATAGGGAGGAAAACCCCCAGGCAGGAGTGCTGGAGGTCCCAAGGGAGACAGAGATGAGAAGTGCCTGGGGAATGCAGGGTGCACTCAGCAATTCGGGGGGCAGTACAATCCTGACAGGGAGACATGTACCACCTCCTTCCCTAGGGTCTGTTCACCTTGGCTTGAGCCAGGGAGGAGCTGGCTGTTGATGGTAAAGCTCCCTGTTACTGGACAAGCTGGAATAAAGCTGTGGTTGCCACAAAGTGTGGCTGAGCTGGCGAGGGTGGGAAGGGTGCAAGGGAGAAGAGTGCAGGGCTCCCAAACACAAGAACATGTCCTCCACATCTTAGCTGAGCAATAAAATGAGACAAGTGCAGTTGGGTGAACAGCAGAAAGGTCCTGACATTTCAGAAATCCTTTGCTGTTTTGCCTTTAATCAATCTGTACTAAGCCTCAAATATGAAAAGAAGTGCTTAGGGCAAAGGTGAATTTCATTTTAAGAGTAAATTGCTTTGATGATTGTCGATTTGCCAAGATTTTTTCAGCACAGAAATGGTATTATTTCCCAGGCTCCTGGCATGGTCCTAAAGGTCACAGCTCATGACAACTCTCTTCCTTTCTATTGTTCATACAATAAAAGCTACAAGCATAAAGATGTTGCTGCTGCTTCTCTGTACCGCTACGTTAAAAAAGTCTCAACAATGTAAGTTTTTTCATGTTCCTGGAGCTTTATTGTAAAGGTGTAATGAAAATGGACCATGAAAAGATCATTACCATTTTGCAAGATGCCTATTTCACTTGTATTTATCTTCCTTCCCTCTTCTATGCAGTAGAGTTCATGCTCCTTCCCAAACCAGTCCCATTACTTCTAAGTGAGAACTTCTACCCCATGTGGGCTCTCAAAATTTTTTTCCATAAAATACACTACAACTATAGTTTTGTGGAAACTGGTGTAACGGAGAGAGGCACGTCCTCACCAGGCATTAAATCAAAAAGAGTAAGATTTGTGTGGGTGCCGAACTGACCTCTAGTGGCACCTACACAATAGCCTTATGTCAGAATGTCAGATTCGGCTTTTTTTTTTTTTTTTTTTCCCCAACTATCGGCAGGTAGGCTATGAAGAATCATTACAGAATATTTTGGGGTCCGCTGTGAACTGACAGAACGTAACCCTGTGGGTACAGCTTCCCACGGTGCAAACCCGCTGAGCGCACACTGTGACTCCGCTGTGCCTTGCTGGATGAACCTGGACGGCGGGAGCACAGCTGCTGCGTGGACAATGCCATGAACGGGGAACACCTCGCCAGCAGGGACCCAGGGCAGCCTTCTCGCCCAGCTCGCAGGGCCAGCGTGCTGCCCTGGTCTAACCAAGGGTGCAGAGGCAACACCTCTGTGCCCTTTCCCCTTGCCAAGAGCTGTGCCCAGGTGTGACCGCAGGAGGCACATCCCCCCCAGTGCCGAGCTCCCTGTGAGGGCCGGCCCGAGGCCCCTCACGGCGCTGCCCCCTCACGCCCCATCCCAAACCGCTGAACCCCGTCCCACGCGCCTGCGCTGAGGCCGCGCGCGTTTCCGCTTCCCCGCCGGGCGCCCGGGAAGGAGGGAGGCGGCCGCATCCCGGCTGCTCTCCCCGGAGCCTGCGCATGAGCGCCGCATCGCGCCTCCCGCCCTTCCCTCGTTTCCCTCCTCCTCCTCCCTCTCCTTCTGCTCCAGCTCCGCGAGGGCCCGGCCGCCGCTCCGCGCCCCGCCCCGCCCCGGGAATGCGCTGCTCGGCGGCCGCTCGAAGGAGCTGCGCGGCGGGCGGGGAGCGGGATGGAGGTGGAGGAGGCGTTCCCGCTGGTGGGGCAGATGGGCCCTTACCAGGTGTACCTGTGCGTCCTGCTGGCCGTGCTCCTCCAGGTGAGAGGCCGCCCTTACCGCCCGCTCCTGTCCCGAGGGGGAAGCAGTGCCGGGAGGGGGATGCTCTGGCTGCGGTGGACAGCTGTTCCCAGAGTGTTGGCTGGATGTCCCTGCGGGGAGTGCTCCCCGGTGCGAAGGCTGGTGTGGGAGGGCTTCTGCTGAGGGCTGCTGTGGCACTAACACGTCCTCCCCTCTGGGTCTGTCCTGCAGCAGCGTGCTGCGCTCCTGGGACACAGGTGACCTGTGCCCAAAGGCAGCGCTCAGTTGTGCGGAGTGAATTTGGGGAAGGCAGCTGATGCTCTCTGCGCCGCATTTCCTGGGCGGTTACGCCTTGTGCCACTCTGGAGCACTTTAGGAGCTGGTCAGGGGAACGGCTGGCTGAGGTTAAACTGAGGTTTCCGTGACCTAGACTGAAAGACGTGGAGTTCTCTAAGAGGCTCTGCTGGGAATCCTGCGCAACCTGGAGTTAATGGGCTAGGCTGGGAATTTCTAGGTTGCATGTGGCTTGATTGTCACTGATAAAGTGACAGGTGTCCACTGATACCTCTGTGTGCAGAAGCTCTTGTGTAACCAGCTGACAGGTTGTGATTGCTTATGGTGCTTTGATTTGCCTCGACTTAACTCTTAGAGTACAGGGGCAGTGTCACTCCATTAGGTACTGGATGAGGCCCTGCATTTTGGGTGGTCAGGTTTGTGAGATACAAAGCTGGAACTCTCTTAAGTTTCGTGATAAAAGTGGAGTCCAAAATAACAGTAGAGTGCTAGAAGAGAATACTCTTCTAGTGCTCTAGAAGAGACAGGCTCTCTGGAGAGAGAGTCTCAGAGCCTGCATGCACAAGTGATGTGCTCTGCCGCCATGTTTGTCACCTTTCAATTTCATTTCATCTCGTGCATTTTCCTGTGAGGACAGGAAAGGAAGACAAGAATATCATGTGAACTGTCACAGTCAAGCATAGGACTGAAGTATGGTTTGAATCTGACAGAAGTCTGGTTTACCCCATGTTAGCATCAAAAACTTCGTTGTCATGAATTCAGCTAGGCTGGCAGGTGCTGGGTTACTTCCGCTGTCGCAATTTAATAGTTGCAGGAAGGAAGAGGGGAACGTAAATGTCCTCCCTCCTCTGCTGACCCGTTTTGTACTAATCAAGAACTTCAGTCATGAGCTGTGAGACTGAAGAGGTCCTTTCATGGCACCCCCTACTTCCCCTAGACTGACCAAAATACTAAGAAGCTTTATGAGATGACCAAAGAAGATTAAGATGCCCGGTCCTGTTGGATGGGAGCTCTATACTTGGTTGAAAAGTTTTGATGATAAACAGCAAAAGCTTTGTAGGTTTCTATTTCATTGTACTGTTTTCTTTTTTTTTTTTTTTTTCTTTCTTTCATTTATACTGATTTAGCTGATTAATTCATTAAAATTAGACACTGCTTATTCTGCTGGCCAGCAGGCTAGAAAATGTATATGTTCACTGAAGATTAAGAATTAAGGAAGCAATAGTTACTTCTTTTTCCAGTGCTGGTCATGTTCTGGAATGAACTGCAAATCATGACAAGTGCTCTTGTGTTTCCAGAATTTTTAGTATGGGTCATTTGTTCGGTAATGTTTGTATTATTTTGTTTTGTTTTTAGTGGATTAACTTGCATTTCTCACGGGAAAAGTAAATAGAAGAATCTTTGCAAATTCTGGAACTAATTCAGAATAAATAAAGGAGGATAGCAGATTTGCAGGTGTGCAGGTCTGCTTTTTTTCTCCTCATGTTATCTTTAATTCTTGAACTATACCAATGAGTATCATCCTCATTCGTAGGCTGATAGCCTGATTCGTAGGCTTTCTTTACTTCAGATCATGCAGGCACAGGAGTCTGTAAGGAGTTTAGATGTGAAGCTTGGCGTCTTTCAGTTCATGAGTAGATTTGGACTTATTCATCTGGTTCCTGCTTGGGTGGTTGATTGCTCTTTGTGTTCCTTTATTGGTGCCAAGTTACATAATGTGTCACTGGGAAGTACGGGAGCAAGACTGAAGGCAGGTTCCACGACTGGTGTTAATCTTTTGTCTGGTTTATCATCAGCCTTTGGAGGATGGACCCAAAGGTAAGTAATGTATCTTGTGTGTGTGATGTAGAATGTTGATCTAGGTAATCATGGGCTCCTGTAGTGGATTAGATGCAGCATATGGCAGCAGAATGAGAATTCCTGGTAGTCTATATCACTGGCTGTGCCATGATTATTCCATTTTGTTGCTAGTTTCCCTGTCCCTTTCCATGTGCTCCCTCAGCTGGCCTACATTTTTTTGTTGGCCTGTTGGTATAAAAAATATTTCTACATTCTTAAAGGTAAGAACACCCAATGTGTGAAAATATTTGTCCGCTGTGTCAAGTCCCTTCATCTTTGTAGCCAATATCCAGAGCTTAGACTGCTTTCCCTTCCCAGTGAGATTCCCAGCAGGTGCACTTGCTTTCCTTGTAGGCTTTTATGCCTTTTCATATCTGCATGTTATTAATCTCTTTGAGTTTCATACTGTATAAGTATTTTCCTTCATTTTAGTGGGTTTTTTTAATATAAATTTCTACAGTAACCTACTACCACCAAGTAGCCTTAGTGATATACCAGATGGTCTCTGAATTCTAATTACAGACATAGTTTAGTTCACAGAACTTCTTTGAGTCAGGCTCTGCCAAACACTTTTGTCTGTAGGGGTGAGACTTACACATGAGTCAATTTCAGGTGAGCTTGAATGAACTGGTACTTGTTATGTGGAATGAGCTTACTGACATTCTGGCAAAAATCTCCAGGTTGCTTCTAATTAGAAAAATGTTTTTCTATGTTATCAGTGTAAAACTAGATTAAGTGTGAGTCTTGTGTGCTCCTTCTTTCATCTTCCCTGATTTCTATTATCCTCTACTACCTGCTGCTGTTACTCATTAACCTGCTGAGCTGTTATTATATCAAGGTATGTCTGGCTTATTCACTACCAAGTTAATAGGAATTTGGAAGATTTTTTGGTGTATTCTGTAGCAATAGTTGCTGACTTTATAATGGACTGACAACAGCTGACAACAGAGAAATGTTTTTTTCAAATGACATGGAATTACAGAAACACCAGACTTAACCTGAAGAATGTGAAGACTGACTAATGATGTGAAATTAAGGCTGGATTAGTCTTGCATTGGTAGTATGTCTTTAAGAAAGTGAGGAAGAAACAAAGGGATCTGATAACTCTTAAAATACTTAGGACTTTATTTTGAGCTTAAAGTAAATACTTGATACCTGTTGATTACTGGAAAGGTTGTCGCAACGTTTTGAAGAAATTATACTGAAGTATTATTAAAGAACAGTCTTTTGGTGTTTAGTGTGTGTAGCAATGTGAGACAAAATCCCACACCATGATCAGATGCTTGAGAGCACAGAAACATGCTTAAAAATAAAAAGTTTCTTTGTCTCTTGTGGTTCAACATATCTGCTTGAACGAGTCTGGCCTGTGCCAGTGAATCGGAGCGACAGGATTGCCCAAGCCCAGACAGAATGGAGATGTGCTCTTACTGTGTCTCTACTAAAAGGCTTTAAAAAACATGTTAAAATTCAGAAGGGAGTTCTTGTTTGCACAGCTGAAAAAGCCTTTGCCTTGAGTAATGTGCTTTGCACAGTAATATGGATAATTACCAAGGGTGGTTGTTCCCATCCATCTTGGGAACTCCTTACTAACTGAGGGGAGGATGTAAAAACAGTTAAGATAGTTACATCAAGTTGATATGATGAATGATACCTGTGCCTTAAACTGTTTGTGATGCAGTGCAGCTGTAATGAGTGGTGTTGCTAACGTCCCTTTACTGTTGACAACAATATCATGTATGACTTATGTCATTACAATATCCCAGTGCAGAAAGATGGTCTTTAATCATCCCATCTGCACAAATGTTTTGAGGGAAAGCACATTCTGGGGCATGTGGCTTAAGTACATTCCAAATCTCTAGAAATAATTCAGAAGAAATAGTGTCTGTCTTCAGACAGGATGCAGATGTGATCCCCTATGTAGCCTTGCTTAACTGTTTCTTGACATTTCTTATTTATGCCCTGTACATACTCTGCCTCTTTTAATGGCATGAGACATCACTCTGTAGTTGCAATGACAGTAATGAAATACTTGGTCAGTGAATCTTCTTTTAATACTTACATTTGTTTGAATCTTTTAAACTTTTCTTTGAACCAGCCAGAATTGATTGTACACTGAGCAGCTTATTCCCAGTCCTTGATGATGTATGCTATTTGGACTTTATCTGAATAGGAAGAGCAAAACAAATTGGAAATGTAATGAAAAATTTAAAATTAAGAAAGGAGAGGGGTATTTCACAAATTGCGTTACAGCTCTGTATAGCATGCTGCAGTTGTTCCAGGGGTATCATGACAGGTACAGTGTTTCCCCAAAGTTCCTTGCACTGTAACTTAGACACAGTTCAAGTACAAGTGTCTGTAAGGTAAGTGAGCAAGGTGGCAGATATAAAAAGGATTTTCAGAATTTCCGTGTAATCTTTTTTGAGTTTGATGTCCTCAATATTTGTTTTGTTTTCTGTATGTGGGAGAAGTATGAGTTTTAAGTCTGTCTGATTCTCAATTAAGCAGTTGCAGAATGTGTGTCAGACATGTGCAGCCACTTCCGTGGAGGAGAGATTTCAAATGTGGCATGAATACAAACATAAGATGTAGGGACCCAAGTGTTTTTTGAGGAAAGCTTTGTATTCTCACATCTCTTTGTGCATTGTATCCTACTCAAAATGTGCTTATGCTGAAGGATGGTGTTGCTTTCCATGTAAATATGATGAAGGCTTTTAGAGTACTTGCATCACTGAATATAAATCCTTGTTCTGGTATAGCATACTCCTGTTTCGGAGGACAAGTAAATGAGGTGGGTGTGAGTATGTAAGCTATTGATGCATAAAGATGTGCTGCTACTCATTTAGCTAAGAATATTTCCATCTGAAAGTTGATGGAACTGCTAAGTGAAG